CGACCTGGAGCTGTCGCCAGAGACCCCGGTGGCGGTGGTGGCGAGGAGCGCGTTGGCTCGCCCATCAGCCACATCCTCACCTGCACGAGCACGGCCTGGCAACGGTGCTTCACGCCCTGGTAGCCTCCCGGTTGGATTACTGCATCGCGCTCTCCGTGGGGCTGCCCTTGAAAACGGTCCAGATGCTTCAGCTGGTACAGCAGAGAGCGGCCAGGGTGCTGACGGGGACTGGTGGTTATTCCCATTTCAAGCCGGTCCTCTACCAGCTCCACTGGCTCCCAGTTGAAGTCGGCCCGATTCAAGGTGCCGGTTTCGACCCATAAAGCCCTGAACGGCTTGGGACAGGGATACCGGAAGGAACGTCTCCTTCCATATATGCCCTCATGCCCCTTAAGATCTGCGGGTGAGGCTCTGCTCCAGGAACCCTCCCTGAAGGAGGTAAAAAGGACATCTACTCGGAGCAGGGCCTTCTCTGTGGTGGCGCCCAGACTATGGAATGAGCTCCCCAGGGAGGTTGCCTGGCGCCAACCCTATATTCTTTTCGGTGGCAGGTTAAAACCTTTTTATTCAATCGTTATTTTAAGAATCAGTATTTTAATGGTTTTAACAGTCACTTTTGATTTAATTTATTTTTACTGGTTATGTGCTATTTATTATATCGGTATGGATCGTTTTATTGTATTCTGATTTTAATGATTGTAAGTCGTCCTGAGATGTCATGCATAAAGGGTGGCATATAACAGTTTTAAATAATGCATCTTTGCCATGTCAGTCACCCTAACAGCCCTGCGAAGATGCTTTGCTGCACCGCAGCCTGCGGCCCCGGATCCAACCCCTGGCACCACCACTGGAAAGGACCTGCTGGAACGTTTGGGAAGTCTCCGGCGGCTGGAGCCAAAGGAAATGGACCGAGGGACCGATGCTCTACCCGGTGGAGGGGCAAAATTGGCATAAACTCTGCATATGCTCATGCTGACAGGCCGAGTTTTAAACCTCTTTTGAAATTTCTGTGCCACCATGATTAGCTTCCTTCTATCTATATAGACATTTAGGGATTTTCTTCTACTTAATGCTTGTATCAATGCTACCAATAAGTCATAAAATTACATCATTATTATGATCATTACTGCTATTATTAATATAATTCCTTTCTCTGCCAATGGCTCATGCTCTCTCCTATAGGCACGCAAATTTAGAAATGATGAGTAGGATGCCTTCTAAATTCCACAGCCACTCGATTTCTCAGCCAAATAATCACGAAGAAAATTGATGCTTCAGTTAATTTGCACCCTGAATTATATTCCTCCCCCCGCCCCCCTGCTAACAGAGAAACTGCTTCTCCCCAACCTTAATTGTCCTGCAGGGGGGGATTTTTCTTGGGGGGCAATGCAAATGGATCCAAGGCAGCAGCACAAGCCGGGCGTAGCAGCACCCCAGCTGAATGTGTCCATAGGCGGGGAAATGAGCCTGTGTGTAATCCGGAGGTTGGGCCTAGGTGCAGCTCTATGATCATGAGGACCAGCTCCTTGTGGGGCAGCAGCACAACCTGGCATGTCCATCCCCAAGCTTTCTTCCCAGCCTGCACATGAGCAGATGGAAACCAGGGCACCACGCACCTATCCACACATGCAGCTGAATGCAGGAAGGCGGGAGGTGTGAGGCAGGAGGCACAGCGAGCCGCTGATCGGCGGAGAGGGAGCTGATGGGGCCCCCAGGCCTTGCTGGGAATGGACCGATTTGGGCTCTTTCCCATAATGGGAGGAAAGGCTTCCCAACAGGCCAACAGCAAATGAGAGAGAACTCCCCAGAGCGGTCCTCGGGTGGGGGGAACGAGGGCAAGGGTGGGAGCTTCCTCCCGGGAAGGCTGCTCATCCCCAGACCAGCTCGGTCCTTCCTGCCAGCTCCCCCGAGCTGCATCTCCAGAGCTATCTCCGTCCTGCGCCCACAGCCCTTCAGGTGCTCCCAAGGGGCTGGGACAGCGGCCCCCCATCACGGCTGGGCTCCGGCCTGCACGGCCCTGAATGGACAAAGCTGCTTCATCCATGCCCAGACCACCCCCGGTGCAAGTGGAAGCCAAGGCTCGGCATGCATGGCTTGGATGCGGGGCGGGCGAGTGAACAAAGGCGCCCTTGACCACATGCAGACAGCCTTCCCACTGCCTTTGGCTTCAGGTCGCGTCCATCAGGGATGGGGGACCACGGGGCCGGCCCCGTGCGCCCCAAAGTCTCCTTTTGCGGCTGTCATCGCTGGAATTAGGGCGCTTACGGCGATCCACCCGGCAGGAACGGAGCAGTCGGAAGGCCTCGGAGCTCCGGCTGAGGCTGGCGAGGAAGCCGTTCCGCGGAACCGCCAGCCACGGGGCTGAGCCCTTCCAGCCGCCTGGCCGCCAGGGCCGGGGGGCCTGCCCAAAGGGCCCAGCGCACCGAGCACCTCCGCTGCTCCCAGTGGATGCTCCCAGCCCCGCTGGCTCCCCGGAGCCCCGGCCAGCCGGCCGGCCCTCATCCTGGCTCGCTTTTTCTGCTCGGCCACATTGCCACCCCTGCACCAGACAAACCCAGCCTGGTCCGACCTGGGAGGACTCCTCTTATGCTTCTGGCCTGCCCTTCCCAGGAGATGTTCAAAGCAGGGGACTATTTTCACAACACACTTGCGGGGGAGGTGAGGCGAAGAGACGGCCGAGAGCTAGGACTTCCCAAGAACTATTTAAGGGACGGCAGCCATGTCTTTGGGCCAGAGGCTGAAGCCAGCAAGCTCACCGATTGAAGAAGCCGCTGGACACTTTCTGTGGACCGCAGGGACACCCACATCAACACACCGAGAAAAGGCAGCATCAGAGGGGCCAGGAAAGCCCAGCTGGAGCAGGCAGAGGGCCCGTGGCGTACAGCACCCAGAATGCAAAGCAGATGCCCCCAGGAAGCATCTCCCCCTGGGCTGGTTTCCACGGGAGACCCTCCTGCCTTCTGTCCCCAGTCCCAAGCCTTTCAAGGTGGACTGCTCCTGAGCCTGGAGGTTCCATTTAGGTAGCATAGCTGACAGCTGACAGAAACCCCCGTTCCCCGTTCAAAACTATTTGTAGGGTGCTCAGCCCTTGCCCTGCATCCATGCCACCCGGTTCAGAATTCCTGCATGGGGTTTGGACATCGTGGGTGGATGAAACCAGTCAGGACGTGAGAGAATCGGGCGGATGCTGCTGCGGGTCCAGCGGCACTGGCCCCACATCGATTCTCTCTGCGGCTGGGCTCCGGCCCGGATCAAGGCAGGAAGGGCTGTGCTCCCTCCCGCGAGGCCTGATGCAGCTGCTTGGCCGACGATGGCGGGCCACCTCGGCCCATCTGGAAATCCACACCTGGATGGAGAAGAGGCAGCGCCGAAGTGCTCGGAATGAACGGGAACGGCTGGGGGGCAGGAGAAAGCAGGCCGGTGGCCCCGCCTAGTGGCTGGAAGCTAGAAGGACAGGGAGCCTGCCTCGGACCCCCGGCACCCTTCCTGCAGCCATGAGGTTGGCGTCCCCGGTGGGGCATCCCGCAGGCCCAGGCGCGGCCCTGCATGAGCACTCCGGGCGCCCATGCTTCCTTCAAGCGGGGAGGGAGCCCCCAAACATTTGCACCCCAAGGATCTGCTGCCAGCAACACTGCAGGGGATGCTGGTTCGAGGCAGACTGAGGTCCCAGAAAGCACAAGGGCGTTCAGTCGGTTGCTTTTTCTAAACAGTCCACTCTGGGCGGCCAAGTCGGACCCGAATACCGGCAGCTGGGAACACGGGGGCCCCTGGTGCGGCCCGGTGGGCGTTCCCCGCGATGATGGGACACAGAATGAGATTCTGCAACATCCCTTTGAAAAAGCTACTTTGCGGAGGTGTGTAGGTTGCAGGCCTTCCCTGGAGCAGCACTTAAAGGCAATGCTCATTTCAAGCCGGCTGCACACGCTTCGGACCAGCCTGCAGGTGCAGCATGAAGGTGACTCCCAACTTTGCCAGGGCACCAGGTGCCAGCAAGCTTTCCGCCATGGTTTCTGCCAAAAAGCACGAGCGCAGAAGGACACAGAACAACAGGCGTGCGGGGAGGATGGGCCAGGCCTTGGGAAACTTGGCGGTTCTTTGAGGATCGCCAGCAACGCCATCCAAATAATACCTGGGGGGCTTCTGAAGCGTCCTAACTTCTGCCTGCCTCTTCAGATACAAACACAGAAACAGCGCGAGACAGAAGGGGCCTCCCGGGCCATCTAGTCTGACCCCTGGCTCCAGCCGGCTCTGCTCACGACATGCCCACCATGTGGACGTCCAGCCTATCCTTGAACACCCTCACAGATCGGGCCTCAATGCCCCCCGGGGAAGCCCATTCCACACCCTCGGGGTCCTGACTGTCAGGAAGTGCTTCCTGGCATCCAAATGGAACCTGGGCTTCCTGAGCTTTGCTCCGTTGGAGCGCGTCCTGCCTTCCTCTGCAGGGGAGAACAGGCCTCTCCCCACCTCCGTGTGACACCCCCTCACATACCTGCATGTCGCCAACAGATCCCCTCTGAGCCTCTTCTCCAGGCTGAAGAGACCCAGTTCCCTCCGTCTCGCCTCATACGGCATCCCCTGCAAACCGGCCACCAGCCTTGGGTCCCTTCGCTGCACTGACTCCAACCTGGCCATATCCTTCCTGTAACGAGGGGCCCAAAACTGAGCACAATCCTCCAGTCAGTCTTGTAGATCCCTCAAGCTTTGAAAATAAGAAGTATGCTTCGGGCCTGGCCTTTGGTGCCTCTGCTTAGGATATTTATAACCACCTTTTTTCTTTTCGAGGAACTCCATGACCTAACTGTGAGGCCTTCCTATTCTCCTAAAGTAAAACCCTCTGATAAAAAAAAGAAAAAAAGAAGAAAAATTCAAGAGAAAGGAAGACTATTGCTGCTTATTTCCAGATAGGAAAAGCTGGCCTGCTCCCTGGCAGCACAGGCCCTGGCGCGTCCCTCCCGCCCCCACCAGCTTTTTAAACAGCATAAACTAAGTTCGCACCATTGGTGGGCAGAATTTATTTATTTATTCGTTTAAAACACTGTTATCCTGTCCTTCAGGATGGCTTACGACACTTGGACTCACAAGCAAAGCGCTTCACGTCCGGCTGACACGAGCACGCGTCCTGCAAGGCACCAGCGCCAGGGGGGCTCAAGCCCCACACGGCTCCCCGGGCTGCAGAGAAGGCACTGCCCCTGCTTCACGCACCGCTCAGATTTCCCGGTGCTCCGGGGGGCGGGGGGGCGGGGCGCGTGCAGAAGCACACAGGGGCCCAGAAATGCACTGCCACCGCCCAGGCTGAACCCTGCCCGAGTGCCAGATTTCCTTGTGTGCGGACGCGTTGCGGCCAACACAAACACCGAGGTGGCGAGACTGGGCGGCGGCTGCTCCTGCCGCAGCTGCAACCGGCTGCACCCCTCGGAGCAGGCAGAACGGGGGGCGTCACTGCACATGGCGGGCTCACACGGCAAGGGCTGGCTGAGCGCCGGGAGGGGAGGGGCGGCTCGAGGACCCCCGTCCTCCTCGGCACTGTCGTCGTCAGAGTTCGCCGAGGGCTTGCAGCGGCTGTCGTGACTCCTCGACGTCGTCGGGTCCCGGTCACGCCGCCCACTGCGCCTCCGCGGCCACGGAAGGGCCGGTGGCGAGCGGGCTGAGCGCGGGCTGCCCAAGCGGTCCCTCCACGGGGGCTCCCGGCGCACCGGCGGGCTGCGGGCCATCTGCGTCGTGCGCGCTGGCTGCGCCACCCCTTCCGTGGGAAGCGCTCCCGCTGCGAGGATGGGGCCCCGGGGCCGTGGGCGCGCCAGGGCCGCCGAGCACGGCTCCAGGGGACGGTGCTCCGGAACTGGCCGGAGCCGGGGGCAGCTCCCGCTCGACCGGGGCCTGGCCCACACCCGCTGCCGGGCAGGAGGGCCCGCAGCCGGGACCGCTCTCCGCGGGTTCCCCCGTGGTGCCGGAGGGCCGACGTTGTTCTCCCGACGCTGCTGCCGACGAAGGCTCCGGCCCGCCCGTCCGGAGGGGCTCTGCTGCCGTGCGTGCGGCGCTCTGGCCCACGGGGGCTTCGCCGTCGCTCTTGGGCCTGGGGGCCTCCGCCCCCTCCAGGGCCGGCTCTGCCCCTCGCCCCGGGGCTTGGTCCTGGGGGGTCTCCTGCCTGGCCCCCGCTACGACGGGCTGGTGGCAGAGGGGGCAGGTGCCCCGCACGTAGAACCACTTGCGCAGGCAGTCGCCGTGGAAGAAGTGGCCGCACCGGGTGACCACCGCCACGGTCATCTCCTGCAGGGAGAGCAGCGGGGTCAGCGGGACGGGGGACTGCTGCGCTCTGGGGGGACCGAGCCCCTCCAGGTGAGAAGCAGCAGGGCGGGGGGGGGGGCGGCCTGAGGTCCACACACACACAGGCGCCCCTCCCCGGCTGGGACTGCTGGGCACTGCGGCCCACAAAGCGCCGTGCCGGGAAGGCCGCCCTGGCCCACTCCGAGCCAGGCAGGCCTCCCGCCGGGGTGGGGGCAGGCCGCGGCCGCGCTCACCTGGAAGCAAATGGCGCAGACGTCATCGCGGTCCTCCAGCTGCTCGGCCGTGGCGCTGGGCAGCAGGCGGACCTTCTGGGCCGCGTCCCGGCACAGCAGGAAGCTCCTCCAGCCCGACTGGGCCCGCAGCCAGACGTTGAAGTAGCAGTGGAGGATGATGATGGAGGCCCCGGTCCAGCTCCACTCCCCGAAGACGGACTCCCAGGCGCCATAGGCCACCACGCAGAGCGCCACCAGGAACTCCAGCACGCGGCTGACGGCGTTCACGCCGAAGATGAGCTCGTCCATCTTCTCCACGACGGTGTCCTGGAACAGCTCGGCCACGAAGAGCAAGTAGATGAAGAGGACGCCCAACACCTGGCGAGGCGGGCGAGGAAGGCCGTGAGTTCGCTGGCCACGGCGGGAGGACCCTGCAGCTCCCGCGTGGAACGCCTGCTGGGCCGGGCCGAGCCGAGCCGGGGCGCTCCGGCTCCGGCACCATACCTGCTTCCTGGCCTCCCGCACGGCCTTCCCCCCGGCTGTACCTGCAGCGAGGTGAGCACGGAGCTGGAGATGAGGATGAGGAGCCAGGAGTCCAGGTGGAAGACGTGGGCGATCTTGCAGGCCATGACGGTGGGGCAGAGCAGGAGGAAGACGCACATGCTGACCCCGCGGAAGTGCCTCCAGAAGCCCCTGCGGGGGAGAGGTGGCCGCCGGGTGAGGCCGGGGTGGCAGTGCTCCTCGCCTGGTGCCATCGGCCGGCGCTCTGCAGCCTGGGCGGGCCAGGCGGGGGCCTCGGGTGGGGGAGGCCGCAGGAGGCAGCCCGGCTCTCCTCGAGCGCCGAGCGGAGGGGGGGGTACGGCTACCACTCGGGGGGGGGGGCAAGACTGGCCCTGCAGGGCGCCCCAGTCGGCCCGACCCTGCGCTGCGTGCCTGGAGGCGGGGCAGGCCCCAGCAACCGTGCCTGCACGGGTCTGCTCCCTGCATTTACTCACGAGGTGCCCCACTTCCTCTCCAGCCCGACACGCTTTTCAAAGAAACCCTTCCTTAAACCCCCGGGCGGCCAATGGAGCCGGGTCACGCCCAGCCAGACCGCCAGTCCTCCTGCCCCAGTCCTGCCCCCCAGAGGCCTGCCTCAGCCCCCACCCGGGGCCGGTCCAGCACGTGCTCCCGGCGGCCACAGCCCCTCGTCCCCCCAGCTCCTGCACCGCCCTTGCCACGCGGGCCCCAGAGATGGCCACGGCCCACACCCCTCCCCACAAGGCGGCAGGGGGGAAACGCCCCCTGGGTGCCCCCGTGGGGAGGAGGAGACCGCCACCTGTTCCGCGAAATCGCAAGCCCCAGGACGATGGGGTTGGTGATGTCAATCATGGACTGCAGGGTGGACGTCCCCACGATGAAGAGGAGGATGCTGAGCAGGAAGGCCCTCTGCAGGCCCCGCAGGTCCAGCAGGCCCGTCTGGAGAGCGAGCAGCAGCAGCGTCACCCCCTCCGTCACGCCCCTGCCGTGCACAGAGCAGAGAGGAAAGAGGAGAGGGGAGGGAGGAGGCAGGCGAGCGCACACGGAATCTCTCGACGCTTCGTGGAGGTTGCGGAGGCCGAGTGGCGCTCTTCGGCCCAGACTGCTTCGCTTTAAAAATGGCGCCCAATGGCACCTTGCAGTGTGCAGTGGCTCCTAAAAAGCCCCCCCCCCCAAGGTCTACATTTTGAACCGTGTGGCACTCGCAGGGCGGGGGCTGGGGATGCTCCGGGGAGCAAAGCGGCCCTGGAGCTCGCAAAGTGGCCCAGCCCGACGCTAGAGCCTCTCTCATCCCTGGCTCTTCCCCGGGACTGTCGGCCCCCACCTGGCTCCAGGCCCAGCCTGGGGCCTCCCCCGTCCCCTCCTGCCAGCCGGGGCCTCCTGCACCTCGGCCGGCCGGAGCCCTACCCCGCCTTCCGCTCCGCCCCGCATGGCCACCAAACGGGTCTCAATGAAGATGAAGGGGACTACAACTCCCACTAGCCCCAGCCAGGATGGTCAATGGTAGGAATGCAGGGAGTCGTCGTCCGAGGCATGCAAGGGGCACCGGGCAGGGCAGGCTGTTCTGGCTGATGCCAGGAAGAGTCCCGTCCTTCTGCCCCAGTCTGGCCCAGACCGAGCCGCAAAGCGGGCAGGGCTGGCTCAGGAGGGGCACCGGGAGGGGGGCGGCGTTTTCCTGCCGCTTCGCTTTCGGCCTCCCTACACGCCCTCGGGAAGGAAGCCGAGCCACGTCACCGCAGGAAAACCTGTGAGTGGGGCCGAAACCCCCGAAGCCCACTCATCACACTTGGCATTTCTGCCCCCCCCCCCCGAGGTTGCCCCGAGCCCTTCAAGGGCAGCGGAGCATCCGCACCCACCCCTGCCCAGATTACTGCGGACTGCGGGGGAAGGGTGGCGGACCTGGAGCCGGAGGCCACCTGGGGGTTCCCAGCAGGGCGAGCTTGGAGCCCGGGACTTCCTGCTTCACGGCCCCCCGGGCAGAGGCCTTGCAACGCGTCTTGCCCCGCTCACCTGTGCATCACGTCGCTGTCCTGGCACGCGCTGTAGCCCGCCAGGTAGAACTTGCAGAGCTTGAGTACCCCCCAAGCCAGGTAGGAGACGGCGCAGGAGAGCCCGACGAGGGAATAGGGCGTGCCGGAGCAGTCGGCCACGCTGCGGGAGGAGCACGCGTCACGGCCTGCCGCTGCCGAGCGGGACCGGCCCACCCGGGGCCGGACCGAGGGCCTCAGCCGGGCATCTCCCCCACCCCCAGCAGCTGGTTTCCCGGAGGGCCACTTCCTCACCACGGCTGGTAGCCGCACTGGCCATCCCGTGCCCTCCGAATGCCCCGTCCACTTGCTAGCAGAGGGGCCGGCGGGGGCCCCCGTCTCTACCTGGTGAGGAGGATGAAGGCGAAGCTGTGCTTGGCCAAGAGCAGTCGCTTGCGGGAGAAGACGAAGCTGCCCATCTGCGCCGTGAACAGCGTCAGCCAGAAGAGCAGGAACAGGAGCGGCACGGCCAGCTGGCTCCAGAGGGTCGTCCCCAGCGTGACCAGTCTGGAGACCTCCAGGGCCTGCCAACAGGGACACGCCTGAAGGGGGCCGGCGGGCGAGCTCCCGGCTGGCTGGTTTGCACCCAGCCAGCTTGTGGCTGCACACCTGCCCAGGGCCCCACACGGGGCCTTTGACAAAGCGCCGGCCGGATGCTCACGCAGCCTGTCGGGGGTATGGGTAACGGACCGGGAAGGGCAGCAGGGTGCCGCCGAAGGAAGTCCTGGGGAGGGGGAGGGCTAGGGCTCAAGTCAGGGGAACGGACACAGAGATTTCGCAGTTCGGGCTTCTAACATCTGCGGCACAGAATTTGCAGCCCTGGCACTCCTAAGAGATGTGCCCGAATCCGAGGTGGCTGGGGAACACTGTGGACCCAGAGAAAATACGCGTTTTCTAGGGGTGCAAATGGAACAACGGGCATTTGGGTGCCGGGCGGCTCAAAGGGCTACTTTTTGTGCCTCACAAGAAAAACAGAACCCACAACAGGCTCCTAGTCCTCACAACCGCCGAGGAAAGCCCAGCTTACATTGTAAGGGTTAAAGAGGACTTTGGGGGCTGAAGGGGGCAACCTAAAGGAGAAGGTGGGGCAGGTCCCATCACTGGAACGGGTGTCTTGCTTCTCCCGGTTTTGGAATCTGGATGAAAGACGGATTCGCCGTGAACCCAATGCCGGACCGGCTTTAGCGGAGGCACTCCGACCCTTCGGACTGCGGAACGCACCGCGCGAGGCTGGGAAGCCACCAAAATGCCCGTGGCGGGTAGGAAAGCAGTCGTGGCTCTGGGACCCCCGGAAGCCAGGCGGAGGCCCAGGAGGGTGTGGTGTGGCTCCGGACAGAGGTTCCCACCTCTGCTTCTCGGCCCCCAACCCTGCGGCATTCCTTGCGTGCGCAAAGGGCTCGTGCCCCGGATCCCGACCCCGTCCCTCCAAAGAGCCAAGGCTTCCCGCCAGCCGGCGGCCCGTTCTGCACCTGACTGATCTCCTGCCAGGCCGCACTGGCCAACGCGAGGAGCCCCGGCAAGCTGGACAGGGCGACGTAGAGCACCACCACGGCGCTGAGGAAGGCGGCGAGGACGCTGACGGCGGGCAGGACCCCCAGCGGGAGGCAGCACAGCCGGGCGACCAGGGGCAGGAGCGGGGCGCAGAACAGCCACATGCGCCTGGTCTTCATCAGGAAGGCGCAGAGGGCGACGAGGAGGACCTGACCTGCGGAGGACGAGGAGAGGCGGCTGGGCGCAGCCGGAGGGGGCCAGGTGGGCGGCGCAGGCCGGCCTTCTCCGAGCCCTCGTCCCCGGAGTGCCCTTCCCGGAGAGGCCCCCCTGGCACCCTCCCCAGACACCTCACTTTCCGTCATCGCCTCGGTGCTTTTGCGCCCCGCCGTTGCCCTCCCGTGAGGCGCTCAAGGCGGCTTACGGAGCCCCATTTTCTCCTCAGAACAACAACCCCGTGAGGAGGGTGGGCTGCGAGTCTGCGACTGGCCTGAAGTCACCCCCTGGGCCCCCCGTCCAGTGCCCCCACCGCCGGCCTTTCACGGTGGAAAGAGCCGCCGCTTCAGCTGCTGCCGAACGCCTCGTGTGCTGCACCGACAGTCAGCCTTCCCGCTGCGTCTGCCAGCTTTTTGATGCTTTCACAGGTTCATGGCTGCATTTATCGCTTTGGGGGCATTCCATCTTCAGCTTTATTTATAAATTTTAAACATCTTTACCCTGTCCTTCCCGATAAAACCTCTCAGGATGGCTTACAATAATTAAAATAGTAATATAATCGTACAATAATTAAAACAATAAATAACAAGCGAAACATCAATAACCATCGATTCCACAAAACTACAGAAAGGAGAGAAGAAAGCGAGGCTGCTGTGCTTTGTTACGACCGAAACGCTCGCTGCAGGCTTTTGCCCCGAGACACCCAGTCAGCGAGCCAACAAACCCACCTCCGGGCATTCCTGCTCGGAGGACTCCCTGCCCGGAGCTGCCGTGCCTCTGACAGCAGTGACCGAGTCGAGAGCTCCGCTGGCCAGGCCAGCCTCTGCCAGCAGCGATGGCCACGCGGGCAAGAAACTGACCTGCCGGATCCGCTCCTTCCTGGGGAAGCTGGCGGAGCAGCAGCAAAGCCAATGCCAGGAGGGCATCCCTCTTCCCAGCCTGGGGAACGCTGGCCTGGAGCAACGCCTGCTTTCTACCTGAGGGGCTCCAACCAGCATTATAATGGGGCCCTAAGACACCGGGGGGGGGGGGGGCGGCCAGACCTCCTGAAGTCACCTAGCCCAGGGAGAGCCCCAGGGATGCAATCTGGCCCTCCCAGCGGCTCAGGGCTCCTGCTTCAGGCCCCCAAATTGATCTATTTAAAACATGTGTATGCTGCCTGGTTGTGCCACAACCATCACAACCAAAACATAAAACACAGTAAGAACCAGAACACATTAAAAAACAATGATAAAATACAAGCAGCAAAACGAAACAAAGATCTATGGCATTAGTTATTAAAAATATTTTTCAAAAAGGAAGGTCTTCGCCTGGCGCTGAAAAGAAAGGAAGGCAGGCGCCAGGCAAGTCTCCTTGGGGAGAGCATTCCAGAAATGGGGAGCAGCTGCAGAAAAGGCCCTGCTCCTCGTGGCCTTCCCTCTCCCCTCCCTAAGGGGTGGCTGACACAGGAGGGTCACCTGAGTAGATCTCAAAGACCGGGCTGGCGCACACGGGTGCAGGTGCTCCCTAAGATAGCTGGGGCCTAAGCCGTTCAGGGCTTTCTATGTCCACACGAACACCTTGCATTGGGCCCGGGCCACAACTGGGAACCACTGAAGGTCTTTCGGTATGGGTATTATGGGCTGCCATTCTCTCTGGCCTGCTCCCCAAAGTCCTGCAGCTGCAAAAGGGGAGAACTGAGCTGAACTCTGACCCTCCTGCTCGCCAGATATGCTGCCAGGTATGTTCTGCCCGGTCCCCCCCCACCAACACTTGTCCTTAAGGGGCAGCCTTATGGGGCACCTGCTGCCTCCAGCCAGGTGACCAAACGCCTGCAAGCTGCGGGGCAGCAGCGGGTCTGTCAGATGAGCCAGCCCTCCCCGCGCCTCACCTGCGAGCACGTTGACAAGGTATGTGAGCAGCAGGGGGTCGCCGTGCACGGCCCCCTGAAAGTCCCGCTCCATCTCGTACTTGACGTAATCCCTGGAAGGGGAGGCAACAAGGTGGTGTGACACGGCAACAGCAGAAGCCCCCGACCCAAGGGCGGCATCGTGTGCCGTCAAGGGAGCACACATTTCCCAGCGCACGCCCATGCCCTCGCCTCCCGTCCGCAGTTGAAACGGCACATGCCCAGCAAACCCTTGTGAATCCAGGGCCTGCTCCAGCTCCTTCCCTCCTCGCACGGAGAGCACAGGCAGGCGAGCATCCTAGAACACAAGGCCCTCCTGAGCGAGCTGGGGGCCCTGCAAGGCCCCCGGAGGCCATGATGGTCCAGCCAGGAGTCGGGCGGAGCCGGCCCGCAAGAGAGGCCAGGGCGATGCCCAGCCTGCAGGAGACGCGAGAGGGAAGGGGCGGCCGGCAGCTCACGGGCAGAGAAGCAGGCCTGGCCAGTGGACAGGAATTCGGGGGCAGGACGCCCAAGCCTCCAGCAGCCCGGCGTAGTGAGCACTCCTGACTCCTTCCCGAGCGAGCACTGCTGAAGTGGGGCCTCCCCAGCACCCCCGGGTGCCCATGCCCTCCAGCACGCCCTCCCCGGGGGTCAGACCCACGGCCTGCAGCTTCCAGTCCTCCCGAGGCCTTACCAGGAGGTGTGGTGGCCCACACACAGCAGCAGCAGCGTGAGGAGGTGCAGGTACACTTTCACGAGATGCCGCACTGGGAGCAGCAGAAGCGCCACGCACACCGTTTGCCCTGCAAGTTGAGTAAAACTGGAGATCCATTTCTGGAAAGTCCTTTCAAATTCCTTAGGTACTTTCTGACACACACTTAAGAGTCAGTCCACGCACTAAGGCCACGATCCCACGCCTGCCCAAGCCGGCACTGCCCATGAATGGGGGTACTGGGACGCTAGCGGCTAAAAATGTGGAGGGACAGCAGCTGGGGAAGGGGGACTGGAACAGTCCCGCACAGCCGGGGGGGCAGAAGGGAGGCACAGCAGACGAGCCCTGGTGGACCCAACCGGAGGGCGGCTGGCACCGTGTTCTCCATAAACAACGACCAAGCCGCTGCCCACAGGAAACGCCCAAGCCGGACGAGTGCTACAGCACCCTCTTGCCCATGTTCCCCATCACCTGGTGCAGCCTGCCTCTGACGCACCAGCCATCGGGACCAGTGGCCACGGCTGGGCTTTTCCTCCAGAAACGTCCCGGTTCCCTTTCAAAGCTGTTTGAATCAGCCGCTGCTGCATTGCCCGGAAGCAAGTTCCAATTTAGCCACATGCTGCATGGAGAAGGCTTTCCTTTGATCCTTGCGGAATCTGCCACACCGGCTCCTGGGATGACGGCCTCTCCCCCTCGCCACTTCCTCCGCACCAGGCATAATTGCGTACACCTCTGTCACGCCTCCCCTAATCCCCTCTTCCATAAACTTAGTAGGATTATTTTAGCTGCTCCTTTCCGCCCGTTTTTCAGCTCCGCAACATTTTTGGAAGGTGCGGTGATGGGAACCATACATAACCTTCCAAGTGTGACTGCACTGAAGTTTTGGATAAGGGGAAAAGTTTTATTTTCAATTCCTTTCCTGCTGACATGGGGTTTGCCTTTTCCACAGCCGCTACCACTGGGTTGTGGGTGCCACAGAGCTGTCTTCCTGCGGCCACCCCAAGATCTCTTCCTTTCTGGAAATTTTGAAAGATGCTTGCAAGTGTGTCGGACAGGCAGCCGCCAAATGGTCATTCCCAAATCAGCTGGCTGCGAGCCCTGATCTGAAATCACCAAGCTGCAGACCCGTCCGCGCAGGTGCATCCCGGCGCATGGATTGCAATAGACGGGTTCTGTCCCGAGGCGCCTTTTTGAAGCTGGCTCAACTCCGAGGCAGAGGAAGGCAGACGAGACAGACGGCACAAGCCCGAGGTCCGGGCACGCCAGCCGTGAGCCCCTCGAGGGCCGACTCAAGGATGCCCGGCGACAGCCCTGCCCGCGATGCCCGGCTGGGCCAGGCTGCCCCGTTCCAACCCAGCGGGACCTCTGCGGAATCCCCCGCCCCCCCATCCGGGCTGGCTACCTGCACGGTGGGCGCTGCACAGGTGATACTCGTGCAGGTGGGCCGCTGCGCCTCCGGGGTAGAAGAGCTCGACAAGGGACCGCGCATCCCACCGGTACAGCAAGTCCAGGAGGAGGATGCTCGGCACCCGCAGGACGACGTTGGCCACCCGCTCCAGCCTGGGGGGCATGGCTGGTCGTGGACCAAGCCCCCGGCCGGCACCAGCCCCCCCGCCCTCCCCCCGCCCTGCGCCCAGCAGCTCAGGGCGTCCCTCGCCCCGCGGGACCCCCTCCAGCAGAAGGGGAGGAGGCAGAAACGCGGGGCCGCCCCGCCGCAGGAGGGAGGCAAAGGCAAGGGGGCTGCAAGGGGCGCTCAGACGCCGGAGCGGGGGCTGGGGGCGTGGGGGGCAAGGCGCCACCCCGGGGGGCTCAGGGGAGCGCGGGGCACGGGAGGCCTCTCCGAAGCCAGGCGGCAGTTATCTAAGCGGGGGGGAAGCAAGCCCGGGGGGGCGCCCAGGCCCGGGGGCTCCCCTCCTGAGGAAGGGGCGGGGGCTCAGTGCGGCCGTCCGGGCGGGGGAGGGGCGGGCAACCTTCCCGCCTCAGCCCCTTCCGCCCCCGGGCGCCCTAGTTTCACTTTCCCTGCAGCCCCCCCGCGTGACGCAGGGCGCACCGCCACGCGCGAAGCCCCGGCGGCCATCTTGGTCGCGGGCGCACCCGTCTCTCCCCTCCCCCCCCGGCCTTCCCGCTTCCCCTCCCGCCGCCCTGCGGATGCCACGTGGCGCGATGGCGGCCGGAGCTGCGCGCGCGAGGGCGCCGCCGCCATCTTGGGTGAGGGCGCTCGGGCTGCAAGGGTGGGCGGAGCTGGACGCCAACGGGGTTGAGGTCGGAAGCGGGCGAGCAAGGATTCGGAAGAGCGGTTCCCTTTGGACAGCGTGTGCGGGGCGGGGGTCGCGACGGAAACGGTGCCGAGAAGCCCTCGGGGAGGGAGGGTCGCTTCTGTTGACCTGGAGCAGTCGAATAATAGCCCGAAGAGGCACAATAACAGTAACAATGGCGCTGGCACCTCCGATTTGGGCAAAGAGGTCAAGTGCTCTAAAATACTGTTCGCCATTATATTAATTTTATTATAATGTTATTCTTTTAATGTGCTCCGGACAAGTTGTTCACCTGAATGCTCTAGTGAACGATTCGCCCCCCCCATCAATTTTGTGAATTTTAATCATTCAAAACAGCCCCCCCAAACTAAAACTAAAAAAACCTGAAGAAGATATGTCAATGCTCAGCCGTGCAGTGTTCGTCCTGCCCTACAAAAGTATTCTAAAAGCTCTTAATTTGCAGGATTGGCATTTGTTTTGTCTTACAACCTTACTGGTTCACTTTTTCTCTTTCTGGAAAAGGAAAGTGCCTTCAATACTTTGCATCGATGAAGCCTTTTTTGTATAGGGTTTCACCTTTAAATTACTTTAGCAGGTACAAAACAAGAACTGCCAAGTTCAACGGTAGCTGATTTCGTTTGCGGCCATCGGTGAGCGAGCAAACCGTGTTGCACACTCATAAAATCAAAGGATATTAAAGGTATTGCTTGAGGGTCGCTTGTAGTCTAAATGGGACCTGGGCAGGCAGAGCAGAGCAATGCCAGGAAAAGGCGGCCAGCCCCGACGGAAGAGGGGCTCAGCTACTCCCAGAAGGCTGAGGCAGCCGCGAGAGCTCCGGGCGTCTGGCCCAGAAGGACCGGTCTGTAAAAAGAGGCACGAGGCCCGCTTGGACAGAGATCGGCGGTTCAGGAGTGTCCGACTGTAGGCGATCCATGGGCCCAGTCTTGCCACGCTTTCCGGTCCTGTGCCACCCCTTCCAGCTGGACTCTGCTCCGGCCGCGTCCTCTTTGACGGAGTCTGACCACCTCCCTCTTTGGCGACCTGGCTGGCTCTTGTCGCCAAGCATCGCATCTTTTCCTTAAAAGCTTGACTGCCTAACACGGCCAAAATATGGAATTCACTCCCCAAAGAGGTCCGCCTGGCACCGTCGTTACTGTTTTTTCGGCGCCAGGTAAAGATCTTTTTATTTAAACATCATTTTAATTGTTAAAATATATGATCTGGCCAGGCCAACTTCTTCCTTCTCTTTCCTCCTCCTATATTCTTTATTTACTTATTTTATACCGTTAATTTTAATTTTATATTATTGTATCTCAGTGTATTTTTTGTATTTTTGTATTTATTGGTAATTTATTATGTTCTATTGTATTTCAATGTATCTTATTGTGTTGTAAGCCGCCCCGAGGCTTCGGCGAGGGGCAGCATAGAAATGTTATAATAATAATAATAATAATAATAATAATAATAATAAAAAATATGTGAGCCTCATCTTTGTTATCTTGCTGACCAGAGACACGTCTGGTTTAATATGCTTGAGCAGCAGCTTCCTTCCCAGGCGCATCCAAAAACCAGGGCTACTTGCAGGGGGTCCTTGCTCTTTCCCAATTGCACCTCCTGGTCTGGGAGTCTCACCACTGGGCGCCATGTCGAAATTGTTTGGGAGCTGATGCGTAGGGTTTATGGCGAGTTTTTCTGAGGTGGGTCTCCAGGTCTTTCCCCAACCCTCCCCGTTTCTCCAGGCTTGGGATCGGCACGCAGGCACACGGCGACAGGTGTACATGGCTGGGTTTTGGGCAGAGAACTCTCCGGTTAATTGAACCCGTGGCTCATTCCTGACAGGTCCCTGGAACTGCAGACTCTGCTTTCATCCATCAGAGATCCAAATGCTGTGGGGAAGCTGCACCCTTTTTCTGCCCGGGAGGACAGTGCGACAGAGTGGGACAACCCTGGCCCCAAATGCAGGGAGCTTGTTTTGGCCTCCCCCACCAGAAGAACTTTGAAACTTGGAACTGGTGTGGGATGCTTTGCTTCTTTCCTCCTCCTTTCCAATCCCTTTTCCTTTTGTGCCATGTCTTTTAGACTGTAAACCTGAGGACAGCGATTGTTCTCCTTATTAATCTTCGTAAGCTCACTTTTTCTTTTCTTTTTGGCTTAACAGGGGGGTAAAAATACTGCAAGCACATTCCTGAAAGCATGAATAGAATGCATAAGCATTTGCTGGGGCTTTAAGGAATAATACCAAACAACTTGTATTCAATATATTTTTAATGATCTTGATGAGGAAATCCAGGGAATGATAATTAAATTTGCAGATGACACTAAACTGGGTGGAATAGCTAACACCCTGGGAGACAAAAAGAAGATCCCGGGGAAACGAGACAAGCTTGAATGCTGGGAGGAAAACAGCGGAATGAAATTCAAAAGGGACAAGTGCCAAATCCTCTACCTAGGCAAACATAAAAATAAAAAAATCTGCATTGATACAAGATGGGGAACAGTTGGCTCAGCAGTAGTCAGAGTGAAGGGGACCTTGGAATTGTAGACAACAAGCCAAATATGAGCCAGCAGTGTGGTGCAGCCGCGAAAAAGGCAAACACTATTTTGGGATGCATAAACAGAGGCATCACTTCCAGAAAAAGAGAAGCACCTGTTCCCCACTACTCTGCATTAGTCGGACCTCGCCTGGAGTAGCTTTGGGCACCCAGGTTTAAAAAGGACACTTTTTAAAAAGAAAAGCTGGGGGGGGGGCTCAGAGGAGGGTAACAAAGAGGATCCGGGGCCTGGGGGCTAAGTCTTATGAGGAGAGGCTGAAAGGACTGGGCCAGTTCGTCCTCGGGAAAAGAAGACTACGAGGCAACACGACAGCACTCTGCAGGTAGCTCAGAGGCTGTCTCGAAGAAGGAGCAAAATGCCTCTTCTCACACATCCCAGAATGTAGGATGTGGACCAATTAAAAGTACACCGGCTGCAATCCAGACACGAGGAAGAATTTCCTGACTGAGAGCGGTACAGCAGTGGAACCAGCTGCCCAGAGAGGTGAGGGCTCTCCCCCACCGGAGGCATTCAAGGGGAAACTGGGCAGCCACCTGAGTGGGATGGTGTGAACTGGTGTCCTGCACCAGCAGGGGTTGGACCTGATGGCCTTCCTGGCCCCTTCTGGCTATGAATCCGTGAACTGCTGGACTGCTAAACCCAAAAGCACTTTGTGCCAGGGAGGACTGTACCACAAGCTCAAGGGTTCATCACTCAGCAAAGCGCTGCATCCAGCCAGCATCCTCCTCGGGATAGAACAGCCGGGCCTTGCAGCTTCTCGCTTCAGTGGCCCCCCGTCAGGGTTTTGCACGCTGCTTAACTTCGGATCAGGGCCGAAGAGAAGAGGGCCAGCCGGCAAAAGGCAGAAATGGCTGTGACGCCGTTTCGTCAGCAGGTGGCGCCAAACCCTCGGGGAATTTTTGATGCGAAAATTCACATCAAATTTTGATGCCTGAGGGGCTGAGAAAGGATGGCATATAAATATTCTGAATGAATGAATGAATGCGCCCAAAGAAAGCTAAAATCGGGGCGTGAGGACCCTGTCGGCCTTTCCACTGCTGCGAACACACACCACAAAACCCGTGCCACCCCAGCCCCACAGAGTTCACTGGGTCGGGCCGCCAGCCCAGCCAGTGGAGGGTCGCATGCTGTGGAAACACGCTTCTTTCTGGTTTGGCAGTGCTTCCTTCCTCCTCTGCAGGGAATGGGCCCAGGACCCCTGCAGACACGCCAGCCAAAAGCGCGGGCTGGCGTCTGAGTCGGCAGAGGAAGGAGCGGAAAGGTGTGGGGCAGCCCCAGAGGTGCAGGGCCAGGAAACCAGGGAGAAAAGCAGTCACAGACGGCTATTCTCTCATCCTTTGAAGGCCTGCCCAGCTGGGCTCTTGGCGCCCCTGGGGCACTACTCCTACCGAAACGGAATTATTGTATTTATTTATCAATTTATATCCTGCCTTTTCCTACAAAGGGCTCCAGGCAGCTTACATCATTCTCCTCCTCCATCCTATTCCCAACAACAACCAACCTGAGAAGCAGGTTGGGCTGAGAGTCTGTGACTGGCCCAAAGTCACCCCGTGGGCTCCATGGCCGAGCGGGGACTCGAACCTGGATCGTCTGAGTCCCAGTCCTGTGCTCTTAACCACTGCACCACGCTGCCTCTCACAATTAGGCCTGAGTATTCCCATGGAAAGGGAGGGACAAGGGGGGGGGGTTGTTTGGCACCCGGAGACTTGTAGCCAGGGATGTGTGACAGGCAGCATCAGTTACAACCACCTTTCATGATGCTCCAGCCCAGGGAAGGAAACACCGAAACAG